TCTTATCTCTTCAATTAGTCCAATTCCAACATGTATCCTATACTAGTTGGCACGCAGGCTTAAATGAAATTGGACTCGCAGGCTCATAGTAACAATAATAATAATGGACTTGCAAGTCCAAAATAATAACAATAATAACGGGCTCGCAGGTCCATAAAACGATAAAAATAAAAATTAACCATTCAACACATCTATATGGTCGAGTCAATAATCGTCCACTAATAATACATTTATCACATAAATGTATACCTATATAATATCTAATATTATATGCAAATAAGTTTCAAGTTTCTAGCAATTAAGTCGTCTAAACTCTTTTAGACAAATGGATCGGAATAATTAAATAATTAATTAATCATATTAATCGATTATTTAATTAGCAGGAATATTTAATTAAAATCAAATTTTAATTAAATAACAAATTAGAGTCCAACTCTAATTCAACAATTATATGGCGGGATTATTAAAATCAAATCTTAATTAAACGTCAAATTAGAGTCAAACTCTAATTTCAAAATGTGAGGCGGTTGAATTTAATTAAAATCAAATTTTAATTAAATAACAAAATTAGAGTCTAACTCTAATTCCAATAATTAAGGGCGAATTAATTTAATTAAAATCAAAATTTTAATTAAATACCAAATTAGAGTCCAACTCTAATTTCGAGATCTTAGGGCGAACATGTTTAATTAAAATCAAATTTTAATTAAACATCAAATTAGAGTCTAACTCTAATTTAAAGAAAAGTTTACGGCAAAACAATTTAATTAAAATCAAATTTTAATTAAATGTCAAATTAGAATCCAATTCTAATTACAAGAATACATTCGGGCGAATAATTAATTAAAATCAAATTTTAATTAATTATTAAATTAGAGTCAAACTCTAATTTAAATTAAATCAATATTCTAATTTAGGATAACACTCCTAAATAAAATAAAATTCAATATATGGTCAAATTTAATATTTAAGTTAAAATCATATTTTAACGAAAATATAAAAGTCTTCAATTTTAAATAAAATTTTAATTTGGGTCAAAATCAAAATATCGGTCAAACCATTTGAAAATCAAATTTTAAAAACCATTTATATTCTAATTCAAAATGCATTTTGAAAATTTGAAATTTAATCCCCTTACAAATTATCAACAGGGCCCTTGAGATTACAAAATTGCACAGCAACCCTTAATGCGATAATTACAGATTGACCCCTACTATATAATTGCAGTCGGGGTCCGCAACATTAACTTGCAAAATGACCCTTATTAAAAAAAATTAACAATTTGACCCCTAATACCATATTTGCAGACAGGCCCCCCACAATTACACTAATTGCAGAGAAACCCCGTCTCCACCATTACCAACCCGAATCAGAAGAAACCCTAAAATTTCAAATAGCCGGTGCCGCTTCTACAATAAACAGCGAGAGACGCCGCTCTCAGGCGACGGCAACTCGCTGCTGCAGCGGCACGTTGCTGTCGCTGCAAGAGCAGCGTTTATCACCAGGTCGCGCTGCTGCCGTTGAAGCGGCAGCCGTCTTCCAGCGGCTGCTGCCGCAGCCTACTGCACCTACCGTCGCTGTACTTTGCGGCAGCGATGAGCGCCGGTGCAGCGGCGGTGAGCACCAACGTGCTGCTACCCGCTGTCGGCACCACTCGTCCAGTTTTCAACCTTTTTTTTTTTTTTTTTTTTATCCAAAACTAATTTCTATTCAAAACAATTTTGAACATAAAATTAAATCTCTAATTGCTAGAAACAATTGTAAGAACTAAAACAACTTTTGATTATTCCTATACGTAAAACAACTCCTAACAAACACAAACCTGGCTCTGATACCACTGTTGGGAATCTACTTATACATGCACAGCGGAATTTAAAATAGTTTTCGATTCCCACCAAGAATCGCCTTTGTGTTTAGATAGAAATTATGATAAGATTGTACCTTTTCCAGATCTGCAATCTTTCTGCTTTTCTTTTCGTTCCATCAACCTTGATTCGCCACCACAACTGTCCAATTGTCCAGCCTCCAACGGTGATCCACACAGAGAATAAGATTGCAACTTCTAGGGTTTTCTCTTGTGCCAGCAAGAATAATGAAAACCTTATGGAGCTCAAACCCTAATTATGTATTTATATAAACCCAAACAGGCTCGGCTCGGCCCGGTCCGGTCCAATAATTAATTAATCCAATTAATTAAACCCGGTTCGTGAATTAATTAATCCAATTAATTAATTCGAAAATATAAATAACAAATTCAATTAATTAATTTATCCAACGATTGTTAAATTAACCAATTGGCAATTTGCAATCTTCCAATTCTCTTTTGTGTGTGACCCATTAGGTTCCCGACCACGATGCCTAACGACGTGAAATATTATTTTGATCTAATCAAAATTGATAAATTAAAACACCCTTTTAATTTATCATCAATTCACATTCGCCGTCCCTGATTGACATCTAGCAATGTGTCAGAGCAATACATGTGACGGGAAATGTCACGCGGTATGACAAAACCAAATTCGTTCGTTTACCGTGAAATTATAATCCCTTCGTCAATATAATCCGATCAATTATGAGATATGAAATTGTGTCAATCTCGATCATCGATTATATCTTTCATTCCACTATTAAGTCAATATAAATCGAAAACTCCTTTTCGACTTATGAGTACACCTTGGCCAATGATTTCATTATTGACTTAATTGAATGAAACGCAGATCATAATCTCCTACTATCTAAGAGTGACGAATTCTTTATTGATCAATCACAACCTTCATACGATTCTTGACGTACCCGAACGATGTCGTATTAGCGACCCTTTTCAGAGCAACATCTAACACCGTCAAAGTATGACTGTCCTCATATAAGGTACCATGACGACCTCAAGTCAAAGGACCAATTTCACTACCGAACGTTAGAGATTAACCGTCGACACTCAGATAGTTATCCATGTGGAATCTCTCGACGGGTCTCCAATGTTTTGTTCTATAACAAAATATCCACGTGTTCATTTAAGTGTCACCATAATTTAACTTGTGAGATCAGCTACTTACTTCACAATTAAGAAATGCCACACGTGATGATCGATCCGTAATAACGATATCCGTATCTCGTTATTACTTACGACCACGGATGATTTAAGATTCAATCAGATGTAATTTGTATATCACAATCACAACTCATTGTGATTAACAAATTACAAATATTTAAATCTACGGACTCTATTATTTATTTAATTGTCTATTAATTAAATAATAAATCTGTCATTTAATTGCATTAATTACGTATAAAAGTATTTATGTCCAAAGTTAATTGAAGTTAGGGCATAATACTTGGAGCAATCACAATTGATTTCAGATAATCAACAGATGGCACTTTATGCCAACTCTAACAAAAAACGCAGGTATCCATTTTCTGATAGATAAAGGTCCCCAGGAATTGTGAGAGAATTTTTCCAGTTTCTAATAAAGAGCAAGTTTTAGCAAAGTCAGTTTATGAATTTGTTTTAGCAAAATGAGCTAACTTTAAAATTCAGTTTTTGAATTTGTGTTAGCTGAATTTTGGAGCTTCAGTTTGCATTTATGTGTTTCTATTTAAGCTTCATTAGTTCTTTATTTTAGTTGAATTTGGAATATTAGTGCTGGGTTGCTGTTATGTTCTATATTTAATTGCACTTTAACTTTAGTTCATATTTTTTTTTAGGGTGAATTTTTGATTGATTAACTATGGCTAAATCTAGATCACTGTAGTTTCCTGAAATCATGGCTGCTTGATGATAGTGGGAGGATCGTATACAGAAAGTCCTCACTTGCTACGATGTCACTGGTTGTGAAACAAGGTTTTTGTCATACCCCTTTTGTTTCTTAATTATTTGCGCCAGGTTTCAATTTGAGGGCTTAACTATAGTTTTGGTGGAATCAAGAAAATATAAAGAATTCTCTTGTGCTATACTATTTCATATAGGTGATTCGAGGGAACGTGGCTTTATTGCACATCTGAATGAGGACAGGCACCTTAAGAAGAGGGCGATTGAGTTTCATTTTTAACGGGTATTGCGGTGTTTGATGAGAACAACTTCAACTTTACTAAGGTTGGGAAAGAGGAGGTGCTCTTCCAATTTGAATGAAACGGTGAAGTCGAGTTCCTGCCAAGCTTACCCATTGATGTCAAGAATTCACTTAGTGTCATTACTATCAATGTAAGTTTCCTTTTTGCTTGTTGTTCTTATGATTTTTTGGTGAAATTTGTCGTAGTAGATTTGAACCTTGGTTTGTATAACTTAACAGCTCAATCCTATTGAATCTAGACTTGTGTTGATCATCCCTGGGATTCTAGAATGCTTGCATAAGAGGATTGACCTTGAAACATGGAATCCTTACTTACAATTGGGCTACAACAGTTTCAGTGCATTTGCCACCATGAAACACCTTCACTTCCAGGTTCCAAACTATGACCATTTTAAGTTGCTATCACTCTAATACTTAGTGGCATGTATCTAAAATCTTGTTCATTGTACTGTTGAGTATGGCTTACAAAAATGGTCTTATAATTAATAAAATCTTGGTAACTAAGAATAATATCTATAATTGTCTTGCCACAAGCTTATTACTTGGCAGTGCCATTTCCTATCCAAAAAGTTCCACATGCTACTTTTTATGTCAAACTGGATCATATTGGAAATTATTTTCGTATGTTATAGCGTAATTAATTTGACCAAGTACACCAAGCATCTGGTTAGTCACTAACTCACTGTGATCCTTCTCTGTGAAATGAGAAAACACCTCTGAAGTACTACATAAATTGATCACTGGTATAATTTTATATTTGTTTTCATCTAGGGAAATCTTGTTTTATATGTATGGGGTTCGATTACATTACTTACACTGTGAAATCGAAGACTATAGCTGCTAGATCTTTGCCAAGGGATTTGAATTTATTTTTTTATTTTTTTTATTATTACTTTTTTTTTGGTGCTTTGTGCTTTTGTGTATAAAATCTTCAAATATGTATGCACCAGGAGATTTCTAAGCTTCTAATGTAAAGACCTCAAATTTGAGCCTCATGCTCTTAAATTTGACATAGTTTTGTATTTCTTGATCTGATTTCATGGGACAGTTGAAAATAATAAACTGATGTGTAATTTACATATATGCATTACAATAGTGTTCTGGGCAAGTTCTTCATATAGGTAAAAATGTATAACTGGGTTTATGTTAGAAATTCTTATGTTCTTTTCGTATTTAATTTTCTGAATGGTTATGTACTTTTTGGATTTGCTTCTAGGTTTTAAACTCTGATATTTGTTGATCAATCAATAATCTAAGGGGAGTTTAAAATTGTTGGAAGTCATACATCTTTAAAATGGAAAGAGAGGTAAAATCATATTCTTGGATTTTAAAATTTTCTTGTGGTTAGCTTTGATACTTGTCCTAAAATTTGAATTTACGGAATTTATATGGATGTACATATATGTGTCTATTGATATTCCACACCTTGTTATCTTTTATGTTAAACTTCCAACTCTATCAAGCATATAAGTGAAGTAAAATTAGTTGTAGAATTGGTGAAGCAAATAGGTTGCACATGTTGAGAACAAAGCACGTATATAAATTTCATTATTATTTTAAGTGAAGTGCCTGAGGAAGTATTAATCATCTACAGAAAGAGATTTCTCAAAAAATTGGATTTCATTTTTTTGCTTAACATAATAAACATATCATAGGATAAGCAAGAATCCATGACATCTTGGTGATTACCTTACGATATAAGGCACACCGACTGGAGAAATTTAATTTTAAGGTTTAGGATCATTGCTTCCATTTTTTGCCATGAACTTAGATTTTAATTTGCTACTGTATGACTTTGAAGAATTGTTTGTTTGGCTGCGAAAATCAATCCAGGCAATGTATTTAGTTCAAGAATTAAACTATTTCATTCTCTTGTTTATTTCATTGGTTTTGTTATTAGGTGGCTCTTTATTTTATGATGACAATTTTGTTATTTATTTTCTTATTTAGTTGAATATAGTTCTTATGTTCTATAATTCTTTGTGGTTAATGCTGGACCAAATCTTTGTTTTGTCCATAGAATACACAGGTCTATGAATTTTATGATGGGCCTATGGAAGTGAGTTCATTAAGTCTAATCCTGATTTGTCAGCAGAAGTGATTTTAATTTATTTGTATTTTTCATACCTCATTGTATCTGGTTAATTTAATAATTGATTGAGAAGATTGTTATAATTTGCATCAAACCAAGATTAGTATGTTTTGAAAGATGAAAACCAAAGAGTTTTATTCCTCAGCAATGAGATCTCAGAGAAATTGGAGGAACTATATTGACAAATTATTTAAAAAGGCATGGCGCGGATATTTTGTATTTGATGAAGTCCACTATAAATAGGAATTTTATTATACTATAAGAATTCAATTTTTATCGAGGATTTCTTGTTTAGAGAGGAAAGGGAGGTTAAAAAAAAAATTAGCCTCGATGGAACTGGAAATGTTTCAACGAGGTAGGGATTTTATGTCCATAGTAGAGAATCACTTCTGATTTTTCTTCTATTGCAATTATAATTGATTTTCTTTTGAGTTAATAAATAACAATGTTGACTAACCTTGTCTTTTTGTCAAACAGGCTATCTATCAGCAATTTTTATTACGAAAGAGGAAGCCACCAAAATAGGACAATGAGCTTCCAATATGTAGTTTTGATTAAACTTAATCAAGTTCTTAGTTTCCGATTCATTTTATTGTGACAGATAAATAATTTTCCAAATATAGTTTAATTTTTTATAGTTCGTTGGCAAGGAAAGATATATTTGATCTGGGTTAATTTTAATTCGCTTTTCTAATGATATTTGTGCTTCAATTATATATGGAGAAGGTTGTATACATAATGTACTTTCGTTTCCTTTTATCAACTCAACTAACATCGACCTATTGTGATAATGAAACAACGCTTTTGCCCATCAAAAGTGGGTATGCTGGCTAGATGTTTGTGCATGCCTCTTGTTTCTATTCATGTTGGGAAGATCACCAAGCAAGGGAGCCTCTTATGTCCAACAACTATAAGGTAGTTCTCTTCATTTTGTTACTCTACCATTGCATGTGGGAAACGATTTTTCCTTTATTACAGTATCTGCAATTATATTAAGTAATTATTTTTATTCAATGAGCTAACTAGGGAATGTGATATTTGAGAGACAATTTTAGGTTTTCAGTTTTTTCCCCCCAGTTTTTAGGAAGTTGGTTTGGAATAAATACAAATTTGGGCTAGGAAAAAAGGTTAGTTTACTTTCAATTTAAAAGTGAATTTATATGTTGTATGGGATAGACCCTTGCTGTTAGACTTACACCTCTTAAGTATTCTGGGAATGTAACTATTTATCACCAAAAGCTTGTTAGTTCTTTGTAGATAATTGAATTTTGTTTTCTAGAACTCTAGATTCTACTTCTTTGTAGGGGTGAACATTTTCTCACCATCACAATTCTTTAGAACCCTTGGATGCGTGGGTATCACCATTTGGCTACACTCTAAGCCTCATTATAAAGAGGTATTCCTCTTGTTTTTCGTTTACTTAGCTTTCAAATTTAGGTACTATGTCGATTCTAATTTATTTGAAGTGTCTCGATCATCAACAGGAAAAAAAGAGTTTCGCTTATTATGGCAGCTGCACTCTTTGAAGGTATACATCAATCCTCTGATCAAGTTGGCTATTCTTTTCGACTCTACATATGTCCTCCATTAGATTGCCTGATTTTTTAGTTCCATTTTGAAAATATTGCTACCAGAAACACGAGATATGTTTCTTGAATTTCTTGTTGGTTGCTTTGTAATTACATTGTGATTTTAGTTTCTACATTGGGTTGCGTTTGGCGTACTATATAATTTTTCATTCTTAGTACTTTCTTATTCCTCTTTTTCATGTTTCTTATGTTGGGAAATTGGATTTCAATGAGATCTCTGTTTCTCTTTGATTTCAATATTGTTACATATTTTATCGTAGATTTAAATTAATTGTTTGGTTTTTCAATAGGTTCATGTATTGTTGAAGGAGATGTGCGCTAAATTTTTTAAGCACTCTTATCGTCTTGCATGTAACTAATTTTTTAGATGAAGCCATATGTATATTACTTTGTTCACATTGTTTTTTGCCTCTGTGATCTATCTGTGTTTATTGTGCTATAAAATCACAGTGTGTTATGTTTTTTTGGATTTGGTTTAGCTGACAAATATTTCTATTCCAAGTGCACACATTTTTTAAAAAGTAATTTATCATTTATGGAGAGAATGATGTACTTTTTTTTTTTGCATTTTTGATTCAAGTTCACCGGCAAGAATTTTATGCCTTTTTGTTTTGCTTCTGATTATTACTTTACTCGTGCTGAATTTAACAATTTGTTTTGTTGATTTGATAGGCAACACAATTGCTGCTCTCATGGCTCATCTTGCTCAAGAAACCGAGGTGAAATGTAAGATTAATACAATAAACGAGTGAACATTCATGGAAATATCTATTGGGGTAAACTTATCTTCTTAGTGCTTCATTAACTATAGAAAATGTTTAGTTCCCAAGCACTCACTATATGCATTTAAGGATCAACAAAGAAACACTTTCAAGGCATGTTTGTTACATGACTAGGTGGATACGAATTGCTAGCTTCTTCATTTCCCTAATTATTGTCCACCTTCGCTAAATGAGTCATTATAAAGTAAGGGAACAAAGAACCAATATTTGTTTCTTCATGTTGCGATTGGAGATAATAAAAATGGTAAATAAAACCTCAAGATCGAAGGCTAAGAAAAACATCAAATCTCTAACAGCTTTGAAATGATCCAATTTTCTATTAGTAATACAACCAATTAGTCCAGTTTATTCAGGAAGATGTCCTGATGTTATTTGTTATGTAAAATACAGTTCATTCTCACTTTAGCCAGATAAGCAAAGCTCAAGAAAAAGGAAATATTAGACAAAGAACTAGCATAGTGTAGAGATATTTTGGTCAGCCAGGGAAGCAGAGAGAGAAAAACAGTATCAAAAAAGTAATTGATCACTATCAAAATAGTGGACAAATTTAAGTTTTAGGGCTATGCTTAAAATATCACATGTTAAGGATCCACTTTGCTATCTATTTCATTTTCTAACCTACAAATGAACAGACAATTACCTTCAGGTTTAGAAATTCAAATTTGCTCCCTCTTACTGTAGGAGATACAAGTGCCCGAATGGGGCCTTGTGGAGAATTAGGGTACCTGTCATATTCGGAAAGCAACGAAACCTGAAGATTTCAAGGAATTGATGAATTCCAATGTTACAACAAGGTAATCAATGTAATACTTAAATTACACTTCAAAATATATTCTTTTTGTCTGTCTATTCCCCATATTGAATCATATTTATAACTATATTTCCTTATGTTCATTGCATGTCTTACTATGTAGGTATACTAACATGAACCAGGAAGTCTCAATTCCTTTTACTGCCACTGTCCACACGTTTTTAAACTTGAAGGTATTTCAAGTTCTTTTTACGTTTGTACATTCATTGGGATACTAATTCCTTAGCTGTTGTAGATATCCAAGGATGAGAACACATGTAGTTGTTTTGATGACTTACAAACTTTGCGAAGAATTTTGATGTAGAATGAAATCCCTTATCTTAATTCCGAAAGCTTAATGGGCTTCTCTGTTCCAATAATTCTAAATGGCTCTCTCCTAAATGCAGGGCAACACTTTAACATTGTAACTATTCGGAGGAAAGAAAGCCAAGTAGTAGTATATTTAGAACAGAGAGTGAAAGAATACCTCCATTAGAGTTTCGAACTCACCAGCAGCAAATATTGTGCTAAGCTTTTCCCTTTAAATGAAAATAGTCAACAGGGATTGGAAAAGGTAATGTCTTAAACCAAAAGCATGAAATTCTTTTACAAGATCAATTTAGATTGGCAACCTGGCCCTGGAAAATAGACATGCTAAAATGGCCACGACAATTGGTCAATTATTTATAGTAACTCACTAGAAAATTGAATCACTCCCTTTGGTCTTCATCTCCAGAATGGTTATAATTTGTTTTTGGAACTCGCTTTTAAGTGTTGGGAAGAAGATATTATCATTGATCAAGCACTTGAATGTAAAATGAGAAAGTCAGGTATAACACATGGCCGGCTTATGCTATTCTCCTGCAAGATGGGATATTGCTTCATGCAAACGATAGACTTCAAATGACTGGCATTACTATGGGAGAGGTTTATGTCGCCGTGGAAAGTTGTTCGATTTTCCGCCTAAGGTCGGCTTATTGCTACAACATTGCTTTCTTCAGTTTGGGAGTTCTATCTTCTTATTTATTTATTATATTGCTTTGCAGCTATGGTTGGTCATCCATTATTCAGGTGGAGATGTTAGGAGTAGCTCTGAATAAGAAGAGCTACGAAAAAGTTTCGGAGATTACAAATGATTAAGAGGAAAAGCCAACTGTTTAGGACATCAAAGATTCAATCAATATAATAGAAGTAGTAGATTCAAAAGTGAGCAAGCTGAAGTCATTAGATGTATCGGTAGATCATGTGTTAATTTTAGACTCTCTTATATAGTTCTACTGACACTCATTTCATATAAGATCAAAACCATCAAATTTTGGAGTTATTTCAATATATTTAACATCAGTGTGTTAAACTGGCTTGTTTATGATGCATTTCCATGCAATATTTAGAAACAAGTTAGTAAAAGAACAAACATTTGGAAAATATACTGGTTTTGATACCATAATACTGGGAGAAGTTATGAATAGTTGTGGAAAAGAGCGGCAACTTTCAATTATCGAACATTAGTCTTTCTGTTGGATCCACTAAGGTAGAGGACGAGAGAATTTTGGCTTCTAATAAGGCTTGTTAGAAACTTTTTGCTTGTTTGGTCTGGAATGATATAACTTAATAAGCCTTTTTACGTGCTCAATAAGGAAAAGTCTATTAAAGTGTAGCCATGGAAAATATTGAATGGAGACTGTAATTTACGAGAATCTCACACATTAACATTACCTTCAACGTAATCTCAAGACTAGTATTAATTAAAATAAGTGATACAAGGTTTAGAGTTTCTCTAACTTTTGGTCCTAACCTATAAACACTGGCGTCCGGTGGACTATCTTTGCAAGATATGAAAAACAATTTCCCAAGGCACCTTGCATAATAATGAATGGCCTTCCACATTCCAAGTTTATATTAATATTGCATATCTAATTAAAAAATTTACGTACATGTTTTCACAAATTAATGTTGCATATATTAATTGCTTTTATGTTCACAGAACTTGTTCAAGCAAAGAGTGACGGGTTCTCTGTAATCATCAAATTCTAGAGCCCTCGTGCTATGAATCACGTTTTGTGTTGATTTGTTTCATCAATGATAAACGATTTGTATTGGATCATACATTAACGGAGGTTCTTTTTTTCCCCCTATCTTCACGTTAACGCGTGTATGAAGTTGCATGAGTTCACAGTTGATCTTGGTCAAGGAGTCACCTGGGTTGCTGTACCATGTAACAGTGTTGGACAATTGCCTCAAAAGTAAAAAACCAGAAGACTTCTAATTAAAGTTGAGAGCAAAATTTGGTCTCCAATTTACAGTCAGTTTTAGAGTCTTGTATATGAAGGAATCATTCTTGAGGTAAAGGAGTCTTGTTTGAGTTTAAACTAAATTCTTCTACTTGGTTATTGATCCTATAAATAGTGGATGTATTTCATTATTTTAGATGTGGCCAGAGAGTTAATCTGAGAGAAAAATATTACAAGCCTAGCATCTTATGACTTTTCATACATTGGGTTAAAAAGTAGGTGTAGTAAAGCTCTTGTATATTTTTTTCTTTGCAATATTTGGGGACTGGATTGGTGAGTGAAATTATATATGATTGTAACAATTTTTCATATAGTGAAAAGTTTTGACAGTCCGTTTAATTTGTGCGTTATATTCCTTATTTTTCTTGTTTGCTAATATTATTCTGAACAACAAAAATCCTACGGATAAATAGAAATAAAGGGAATTGGCGTAAATTTTTGAACAAGTGGTATCAAAGCGTCAGGTGGCTCGGAGTATTAGAGCATCACTGTAAGCTATCATTTGGCTTCTACTCATATGAACCAGCCAGTAAAGTTCAGTTATGCACAAAACTATCAAAGACAAAATGGATCTTACCCATACAACTACCATTCGAGTTGGAACAAGCATCCGAACTATGCATAGGTGGATAATTCTGATCAAGTAAATCAGATGAGAGGCAATGTACCAACGATTCAGCAACAAGAAGAAAAGACTTAGAAGATCTACTTGTCAAGTACACTACCAAGACTGAAACGGTGATACAGAATCAGCAAGTTTCTATACATAACTTAGAAAATCAAGTGGGACAAATAGCAGCTGCATTAGCCAATAGACCACAGGGTGCCTTCCCTAGAGTTACAGAGAAAAATCCACAAAAACAGGTACTAGCGATTGAGGCGATGAATTTTGAGATCAAAGAGCCACCATCATTCACTCCCACCGTCGCGATTAAGGCTTATGCGCCACCCATTCCATTCCCTCAGAGACTGTAAAGGCAGCCAACAGTGCAGAAGGTTCAGGCCATTACCACTAGAAGGAATGAGATGGGCAAAGAACAAGTGGAGTGATTACGCCCAAAGTATAACGCAGTAGTTGTAGCACAGTTTTGAGGTGTAGATTCCACAGGGGGATGGACGAATTGTTTAAATGATTTATTAAACTAGGATTTCGTGAATTATATGAAAATAATTGTTCAATTGGAATGAGATTTAATTATCAATATGCGAGATTAGTGAAGTATCTGAATTCCTTCAATTGGATTGGATCATCAACATCAATAACTCATGGTTTTTTCTCAATTAGAGGTTTTCAGCCCAACTCTTTAATCGGAAGATTTAACAATGAAGATCAATCAAATTATAATTGTAATCCTAGGATCTAGACTTTTGTAAACCATTCACACACATGTTTATTGGACTAAGATTAAGAATCAACCATATACACAATGCATAAGGCAGTAAATAATCCACTAATAAAGTTGATTGAAATTGAAATTCAAAAATTAGTTCAATTCTACAGTAGAAAAAATATGATTGAATCTATGAAGAATCTAGTAAACGTTAAATCAATTCCAAAGTAAATTCATAAAAGAAAGTCTAGATCTAGAAGTGTTTGATAATAAAAATACCAGTTTGCATGAATAAATGATGTAAAGTCACCAAATCCAATGAATTTCTTCGTAGCTTCACCTAGGAATTTAGTTCTCCATCGAATTCTTTAGCCCAAAATGAGAGAAAATTGTTATGGCGGTGAAGAAGAGTCGTGTTCTGTCCAGTCTAGGGCTTAAAACTGTGTGCCAAGTTGTTTCCAAAAGAGGTTGAACTGAATAAAGAAACTAAATTTTTGGTGAAAAAATTCTGTATGACTACTTTTAGTATTTTGATCATAATTTTTGGTGTTGGAAAGCTAACATAAAGGCCTATAATTTTGCTAGAAATAGATTTTTCCAAATTCTCACTTCTACTGGGTCAAAAGTGGACTTCAATCTCTAGTTGAATTTTGGAAAATCTTTATACGGTTGGAATTTGATTTGTGAATATGTTCTGGTCATATTTAACTTCTTTTAACTTCTAATTGTACCCAATGGACTCCTAGCTTTCTCGAATCATCATTCCATCGCCCATCTTGCAACTTGGTTCCTAAACTTTCAATTTCTTCCATTTTGGTCCTTTTTCGCTTTTTTCTTCTAAATTGCACGTTTTCTACCAAAATGCAACATGAATCAAAGAATAAGCATAATGAGTGCATTTTAGTATCAAATAATCACATCAATACAATAATTAAGATGGGAAAATATTATATTTTATACTCTTATCACACCCCCAACTTGCTTATTGCTAGTCCCTAGTAATTCAATACAAAACAAGTAAATGAATGATTAGATTGTGATACAAGTGAAATTATTAAGTATCAATTTAACTACATGCCATGTCCCTTTCAAACTCAACACCACAAGAACTTAACAATGTCATGATCTTCAAGCTATCAAAAACACTTACCAAATGTGTGAGTGTGTGTCAAATCATAGTTATCTTACATGCAACAATAAGTATGTCTCAAGCTGAAGATTCAGCCCCATAACTCATGGGTATCAAAGTGTTTAGTGAGGTCTCTATGGAGCTGAGAAAGGGTATACATTCATAACTTGGAGCCTTAAATATTTCTGAATAAGCAACAAACAAACATTGATATTGTGATAGGCATACTCCCAAATGAGAATTCATCCACTTCTTACAGCAACTATACTTAGGATCAAAATAGCCAATGCAACGGTGTGAAAATGGTTAAGTTGGGTTATATGAAAAGTAGGACAGAAAGGATTTAAGGACTTCCAAGTATCTAACTAGGCATCTCAACAAGTATTTCAACATATCAATCCTTTATATCAATGCATTCCTGAACCTTTCAATTCTCAACAACAATTCCCTTTTTTTTTTCTTTTCCTTTTTTTCCATCAACTTTTTGCGATTTTTTTTTTTTGTTGAAATTCTCCTTTTTCTTCTTTTAAGATTCATCACTTCATTTGAGCACTTATCAATTCCTATCATTTTTCTTCATTGCTTTTCTTCTCAAATGATATTCAATACCTACTATATACTTGGAAGTATAAAGGTTTGAAAAATGAATGTTTATAGACTTTATTCTGATATGAAGATGTATGGATAACATAGGCGCATGAAAAAAATGATTATATATGTATTGACTCAACATGGCTACTAGGGGATTATAATTATGAAAACAGAAGAACCAGTCTGAAGGCTCAACTTCAGTCCAAAATTGACTGTTATCATTTCCTAAGTATAATCCACCGTGTTACCACATACCGTGTAATGTTATTCTAGAGGAAGTTTCCAATTCACAAAATCAATGAATGCTTATTACCATTTTTAGTATATATGGCTCTCAATCCTCACCAATTCTCTCAAAGGAAAATTTCAGTAAGAGACTCCTCTAACTACATGTGTTAAACCACCATCTTACCATAAGGCTCGTGTGCATAAAATGATTCGTCAAGTGTCTCAACATCTAGGCTCACATGAACAACATCAACTTTTAGTGGCTTATTTTGTTATTCAAGAACATGAACATGTAGCAAATAGAGAATTAAGGAAAAATTTTAGACCAATTTAGTAAAACAAAACTAACATTCCATGAAAATCATGTAATTCACAAGAAAATTTCAAATACACTCTCCTCCCACCTACACATTGCATTGTTCTCAATGCAAAAACATGTCGACCAAAAGAAGGGAAAGATGTCACCTGGATATTGCAGTGAATCAATAGAAGCTTAAATATGGTGGACCTAAAGGTTCTCAATGGAAATGGGTGATGTAAGAAATGAAAATAAACTGAAAGAAAAATGCAAAACACACCCAAAAGAAAAATCTAAAAACTAGTATACAAAAATGGTGAAAGACATACCTGAAGGTTGTCATAGGTGGTAAACCGAGTCTGCCAGGAAAATTTCTTCCACTATAGGCACCTATTGCCCATAGGCTATTTTGAGTCTCTGTCCATTCACCTTGAATGCCCTACTATCATTGGGATCTTCTATTTCAACAGC